GGAGATGTAACGGCCGCTGCCATTCGTGAGCCCTCCTGCAAGTCACAAAACCAAGGGTGTTTCACAAGAGGAAATAAGGTGCCCGAGGGATTCCCTCACAGCCCGCGGGCGCCATTTGACTTCTAATCGCTCCTTTTCCGCCGAGGTGGGTTTCTGACATGGTTCAACTAGAAAGCGTCCTCAACCAAGCTAAACAACTGCCCCCAAAATGACGTCAGCGGGGACGTGCTCCAGCATCGCTCCTCAGCACGGCACCGTTGTGTGAGGTCAGGAACAGCTACAGATTGCAGCAAAGAACAGACTGCGACAACTTCTGTTCCTCCCTCTGTCTCAAAACTGTCTAAACCAGACAAACTGTCAATCCCACCACTTGCTAACTTGCCGTTTCCAATTACCTTCTCCTCCCATCCTAGGCTTTTTTCCACCTATCTTGCTGCTGTGTGATTTCAAAGAAACATAGTGGGAGTGGGGACAGAATTAAAACAAAACTAGATAAGAAAAAGGCAGCAAGAAGCAAGTCTAAAAAATTTGCACTTAAAAACCAAATCACTATTAAATACAGGTTAAGTAACCATAAATTAGAACCAATATATACTTTAAATATATAATATATATGCAGTATAAATTGTAGTAAATATAGTAGTAGTAGTAAATATAAAGTGTATATATATAAATATATACTTTAAAAAATGCTGTGCTTTTTGAGCCAGGGTTGGCGGGGAGCGGTGGTGGGGCCCCTGCCTGTCCCCTGCTGCGGGGCTGGGGATCCCTCTGCTGGTCGCAGCCCGCAAGGAGCTCCGGGAGAGGAAGGGTGCTCCTGGGTGGCACAAAGTCCTCCCAAGAAAAATGGTCTGATCGCATGGGAACCTGCCACCGAAAGGGCAGCGAGGGCAAACCACCCGAAAAAAAAAGCAACCAGCAGCAGAGAAGTGTTTGCAAAGAGGGAAGAGCTTCAAGGCAAACATCGGGAGGGCTGTCTGCAGAGAGACCAGACCCTCTCCTGGCAGCTGCGTACGACAGTGGCTGAAACAAAAACCTTCAATAAAATAATAATAATAAAAAAGAGCTGAGTGAACTGCACTCCCCTGCCACCGTGCGTGAAGGAAGCACTCCACGAGAATCCAGTATCTGATAACAGCCTAATTAAGTTCCCTGTTTCTGAGTTCTGACTTCTCTGGAGCCGATGCCAAACCTCTCTTTTCTCGAGGAGACTTGAGAACTTCTTGTGCACATCTCTTTCATGGTGCCTCGCAACCGGTGTGGCCATCATCTTCTCTATCTACCTGACTTCTTAATTGAGCAAGCACTCCGAAAAGTGACCACATGATATTCCACACTGCAGGAAGGACCAGGATATTCAAAGGAACAGTAAATCACCTCCTCTCAGGCAAAGGAAAGCCAACAGCCACCAGCTGAGCAATGGCATGCTGATATTTTCCATGGCATTCAAAGAGCTCAGAATTACCACTTGTGTTTCGAAAGCCTGGAGCAAGTAAGAGTCACAGCACTGATGTGCTGAAGTGGAAAACTAGTTCCTGATCATCTGCAAACGGCTGTAAGAGGAAAGGGTTTAGCACTCACTGTTATCAGCTATGCCTTATCTCTTAGTTAAGAGGGAAAGCACAGTTTGCACGAAGTCTTCTCGGTCAGAGGTTTTCTGAGAAAAACCTCCTGATCTTTTTGGAGATGCAAAATAAACCACGAGTTACAGAATCACAGAATGTTCGGGGTTGGAAGGGCCCTCTGTGGGTCACCCAGCCCAACCCCCTGCCCAAGCAGGGTCACCCACAGCAGGGGGCACAGGGCCACGTCCAGGCGGGGCTGGAATATCTCCAGAGAAGGAGACTCCACAGCCTCCCTAGGCAGCCTGGGCCAGGGCTCCGTCACCCTCAGAGGGAAGAAGTTCTTCCTCGGGTTCAGGTGGAGCTTCCTCTGCTTCAGTTTGTGCCCGTTGCCCCTTGTCCTGTCGCTGGGCACCACTGCAAAGAGTCTGGCCCCGTCCTCCTGACACCCACCCTGCAGATATTTAGAGGCATTTTGAAGGTCCCCTCTCAGCCTTCTCTTCTCCAGGCTGAACCAGCCCAGCTCCCTCAACCTCTCCTCGTAGGAGAGATACTCCTCCAGTTTTCTACCCGTCTCTCTCTCCTCTGATGGAGATGCTGACTGCAGGTCTCCCCGTGATGTTCAACATCACATTTGGAAATTAAGAGACCATGGAGGAGAAAGGTTTCCTAAATCAAGCAAGTGCTCCTGAAACTCACCTTTCAAAGTCCAGAAAGCTCGGAGCACCTCGAGCTCCTTTGTGCCAACGTGTGGCTGGGAATATGGGGACTCTGCCAAATGCCACGCTTCAGTGGGATCTTACCAACAACTGCTCCTTGTTTGAGAGCCGTATGGGGAGGCTGGAAGTTCCCGAAGCTCGTAGGGACATTAGGGTACAATAAAGGGGTAAAAACCCCAAAGAAGGGACACGACTCCTGCAAGATGTTGGCACTGATAGTTTCTCCTGCGTCCTCAACCACAACAGACTTCAAAAGGGGGTCTGCAGACCATGTGTAGACATCCTATCATGCTAACACCACGCTGCCCATGCAAAGCACTCGGCCTCCACATACAACAGCAAACTAGTGCTGCACACAGTACACGGGCGTTGTACAGCAGGTACAGCTGTGCCGTGGTTCTTCCTCTGAACATCTCGACCATATTTTCTTAAAACTGTCAGGGATATGTCAGGCAGAATCTGTATCTGGAGAGGACAAAGTGCACAGACTCTATCCTGGGGACTCCAAGGCAGATGCATTAGTCAGACTCACACCGAGCGGTTCCTGTTTTGAAATGGTAAGTCATCTTCTCAGTGCTTGCTGGGACACTCGAGACAGACATTAACCTGAAAGAATTACTGATTTCAGGGAAAGAAAAGGACAATGCAAGGATGAGTCAAAAAAGAAAACACAGGGGAAGAAACACAAAGGCTGCGCTCTGAAAATAAAGCACTTCTTACGCAAGCTACCAGGGCACTTTTATCGGTGCCTTGGATTGCTCTGAAACGCAGGAGTTCTCGGTATGAGAAATACCAGAACAATGGGAAAAAAGGAAGAGGAGAAGATGGCTGGGTGAGAAAGCAGGGGAGAAGCCGTCCCTGCCCGCCCAGCCTCGGGGAGCCCACACCGTGTAGCCCGGCTGGGAAGGGGCCAGCAGCACCCGCAGCACCCCAGGGTCCCTGTCCCAGCCCAGGGCCAGCAAGACCCAGCCCCACAGACCCTCCGAGTCCACCACAGCTAACTGGTTATCGACTCCCCAGCCAGTGTGCCCAAAAAGCCTCTAATACATTGAATTCCCACGTGCAGTATCTGCTTCCTTGCACCGATCCTGCCTTTGAAATTACAGGCTGACTACAGCACGGCGCAGCGCTCTCCCAAGCAGCTCCTGCAAGGAAATCATAAAATTAAAATAATTACTTGTTCGCTGCAAATCCTGCTCCCCAGTCCAAACTGGGAAAACCCAGAGCTGGACACATCCAGGCCCCGGCTGCAGCGTGATCAGCGTTTCTGTCGGGACCGTGCCAGCCACACACACAAGGACTAGCAAAAACTGCTTGTGGGACGACACGAACTGATGTGAAGTGTAACCAAGTCAAAATTAATTTTTTTAATTAAAAAAAAGGTATTTAATAGTTTATAATTCTATAATTTTGATCAATTCTAGGGAAGAAGAGGGCCCCCTGCTGCCCTTAGCACCCAGAAGTGCGTATTTCTTGCCAGCTGCTTTATCGTAGCTGTGCACAGCTGTACACACCTCTGAGTTTAAAGCCCGTATTTAGCTCAGCCTTCCTCCTCCCGTAGGTCTCTTCGTAAGAACTGGCTGCGTGGTTATTTCAGGTACTCGTGATTGCCCAGACATTTCACAAGGTCACTTTACAACACCAGAAAAAACCCTAGCTTGATAAATACACACCATTTTTCACAGCGATGGGCTTTCTGAAAGCCAGGAGAGCTGGAGCTGAATCTTCACCCACAACACCAACCCAGCAAACGATCAACTTGTGCATCCCGGAGACCGACAAAGTCAAACCCACCACTCACACTGCATTTAACCATGGATTTGCCGACTGCAAGTCAGATTGAATGCCAACTTCTTATGGCATTGCGTAATCCTGAAATCAAAGTTACCTGAAGTGACTCCCCCGGGCTCTCCCCCCCACATAACACAGTGGTGGGACGTGGTTCTAAACCCCACTGCTCTCATTTCCCTTTTTGCAAGCAACACCTTCAGGTGTTCCCATCTGTCCTTTCATTTTTAGGTATTTAGAAATACGCCTCATCCTCCTCATCACAAACTACTTCTGACATCCCTCCCAAATGGAAAACGAGTCAGCCTCAAGCTTCTTAGAAGGAAAAACTATGCCTGTGCTGTTTCTATAGCATTAATACTTCCTTTACAACCAAAGGAAACTACAGCTAACACTGTCCTCCATTACAGGTGAAATACAAATTTGAAAAAATAAAATGATCTTTTAAGGATTTCAAGGCGAAAACCACACAAATGCAGAGCTATTCTAGAGGAGATTTTTCTTGCCGCATCACCAGGCACGCAGTCAGCCACGGAGCAACCCTGGCTACAGGGAGAGGAACGTCGTGTCAAGGTGGGAAGACCCACACCAACTGCTGTGGGGCACAACCCATCGCTGTGAAGGGTCACTCCACTTTCCTTCCAGAGTTTGTTCTCAGACAGATTAACCTTTCTCTGATCCAGTTCCTAAGATTCATTCTTTTGTTTGCCAGCCGGCAACAGACTTTTTCAAGTGCCAGATCTGGATTCTGGTTAGTCTTCAGCATTAATTTATTGTAGCTATTTAACTGTCAGCTTAAGGACTGCACAGCTGCATAAATAAAGCCAAAAACCCTTCCAATTCTATTAAAGCTCTGAACAATGAAAGATGGTAAATCTAAACTCAATCTCAAAAATCGTATTTATTACTACTCCATGCTAACCTCTAGCCAGCATCAAACTTATCACACATGCATGTAATAAACATGATAAATACAGTATTTGATGAGTGTGTATATGCATGGAAAACTGTTCTGATAACTCAAAGTTTTGTGAAACCAGACAGATACGTGACAGAACCAAAACAAAGTGATTTTTTTGAGCACGTCCTAAATTACCTGGTGCAGATCCAACGAATAACCTATCCTGTTTGTTTGAGGGCTGGAAATGAATACTTCAGGAAGCTCAGATGAGTATTGCATTATTATTTAATATTTGCTTTATTTATTTTAAAGATTTACTTTATTGTATGCAAGAGCTCTGGGCCAACTAGCATCTCTTCCAGAAGATGTATAAAGTAACGTATCTTGCCAAAATTCAGAAAGCCTCTCCCATGCACTAATGTGCTTTTGATAAGGCCACCCAGATGGGAAATGTTCAGACACAAACTCACAGTACCCTCAGCTAAAAGCTAAGTGCTGCTCCAGATAACACTGCGTATTTTGGTTAAAGGCAGAAACTGTATTCTAAGCTCATTCATTTATTATTGAAAACTTAATGGGTAATTTAAAACATCTGACAAGTTTAAGGATCGGCCCTACATATCTATTTCGCTCAAGGATAACAAACAATTGGCGCTGTTACCGAGAGCTGCGTGAGAAAAACTGTTTTTCAAACACTTGGAAATGTTATCCATAATTTAGAGATGCGGCAGGAAGGAGGCAGAGCAGAAACCTTCCTGTTTAACAGCTG